ATTGTGTTCCTTAGCCTCCCGTTTCCTGTCCGCTACATCAATTTCTTTTTTCTGCACGTTAATCCCGCCTTGTATGACTTCTGGCCGCTACTCCCGCCACGCAGCAGCGTAGCGTGCGTACTCCCAGCATCCAAGTTCTTTGTACTTGCGTATACCCTTAAAATGATGTTGAATAACGACGTACTAACATTTAAAGTTACGAACGGCCATTCGAAACGCATCTCGTTTGTAAGTAGAGGAGCGTCTGTACATTTTTTCCAGGAGATATCGTACATGATATACATTAAATTTAGAGATGCCAATAATTACTAAAATTGTATGTATCACCATATGGCCAAATTCCATGCAATCTTCAATGAGAAATATTTGCATAGAATGGATGGTCACATATAACACCAGCAGCCATAAGATAGCGTATTTCCAGTTAGTCAGATTGCCATATTTTTGCCCTGGTAGTGCTGTCCTGGTCAACCACAGGAGTGAAGCGATTGTGAAGTGGAATCATCTGGGACCTACTTCAGTTGTGAAGTGACTGGCCAAACAAGCTTAAAGAGAAATCAATATCTAACCTTAATGGCAGCAAATCCAACCAGCATTTTTTTATATCAAACATACATGTCAAATTATTACTTGGAAAAATGTGTATATATATATATATATATATATATATATATATATACACGCACACTTTATCTATCTATCTATCTATCTATCTATCTATTTATTATGACGAACATAATTTGTCACATCAACGTATTATTAAATTAGCAAATCTGATTAATTAGTTGGACTGTGTAATGCCGAGGTTGTAATTTTAGTCTACATGGTTCAGAATAGGAGTAAACCGACCCTTATTTGTACATGCATTAGAGTATATTTTCCTATTAAGGGACTTTTGGTGGTGCTTGCATCAGTTTTGTGTACATTGAGGTGAGGTTCTTTGTGTTCTGCATAGACTTGTAACGAAGTGTGTGTTTATGAGTCTCATTTGGTGTCCCAGTCACAGCGTCCCTGATGACGGCCACTATTACGCTACAGCAAATTCAGTAGATAACGCCAATAGGACAAACAGCTAGAGAAATGTACGTTATTTAAATTCTCCATTTTCTCTGATCCCATTGATTTGGAGTGATATAAATATGGTTAAAACACACAGAAAATAAAAAAACTTAATATTTCTTAAACAAAGTAAACCAAAATACCATGCCACTGGATAACAGCAATTTCAGCTGAAGGAAATATAAATTAATAAACCATTGGAATGAGTTCCGAAACCAAACAAAGTTGAACACTTAAAATGACAAGCAAGGAAAGCAGATTTTTTTCAGTCAGCGGAATCATTAACATAAGTTCTCACTAAACAATAAAGCGACCACTGTAGTTTGCTATTACAATAAACCAGGGTGTCCCAAATTTCATTTGATGGCCCACTTTCATAATTCAAAAAGTACTTGCGGCCTACAATAAATTTAACCACACAAACACTTACACTGAAGCTTCATTTCAAGTTATTACAGTAGCAACATATACACAAATGCCAATGAGCAAACATATCAAATCTATATGCAAATATCAACTTTCTTTGCATTCACTGTGATGAAAGACAGCTATTGCAGTGTACGCATGTGCAGATGTGCAAGGTACAAATCAGTCAGGTGATGCAGATCGAGTAGTGACATGGTGCAAGATTTTGCATAACAGTTGTCGAATCTGACATGCAGCTAAGGAGGAAGTGAGATGCACAGGTGAGGTTCTCCATTCAGTTGCATTGTTTTTTTCAATAGCGATAATAAGTAAAGTATTTCACATGATAACCATCAATTTTTATGTGATGAAATATCGTGAAATCGGTATACTGCTGCAACTGTAGTCACAACCCTAACCCTATCAGAAGCTTCTGCTCAGCTCTAGAAAGGCTGAATGGAAAATAAAGAGCGCATGATCAGACGATAATGAAAACAGGCTCATAATATTTAGCCCAAGATTTTCATTAGACTAAATCGCCCTGTTCCACTTGGAAAATATTGGACGGCAGCGATGAATGCAACTGTCATATACCAATCCAAAGAAGCCCCGTCTACATCACAGCAACCACGCCCTTCTGGGAGATCCCACCAGTAAGATCCGCTGGTATAATTAAGCAGCTTGGGTGCCTTGATTGGGTGAATCTTGCCAGTGGGATCTCCAGGAGGGGCATGGCTGCTGTGATATAGTCTAAATTTTACATTCTAGCCTTACGTCTATAGACATTAAACTGTGTAGCTCGTAATTAATTTCATGAAAAATAAATAAATAATGGACTTACTCGTTTTGCAGCCAAGAACAGGCTACTATTATGGACTGAAGAATCTGCCAGCTGAGTTTTGGCAATCTCTCAAAGTCTTTTTTTCTGTATGTTACTTGGGCACTATAGAGCTTTGTTTCAATGAAATAGTAAATTATTTAATTTGGCAATCTGTATTTTTCAATGGGAAACTCATTCATCTTCATAAAAGACTTATTTCATCCATGCGTCCATCTTCTGTACCCAGTTATTCAGTACAGGGTTTACATGAGGACAGGGAACTAGGTAGGCGTCACCCTGCATACTGTAGGATGCCAGTCTAACATAGGGCATATTAAAATTTTAAGGTGAATATGGGGGTTTCACTCTACAGTCCCAGTTTTAGAGCTTGCAGTAATACTGATTAATGGCAGAGGGGAAATCAGCTGAGCCCTTTCCTTTGAATTCCATTCTGTAGAGGTTGGAAGGCTGCTGTGAAGCTGTGAGCAGATCGTTCTAACTGCAGTCTCAGTCAGCCTCTGTAATCTTTCAGTTTAACCATACAGGTCAAGCGTTTGCAGTACTAGTGATGGGGTTCTGATACGATTGCGATACATAACTGCTGATACCGATACAAATCCAAATGAGCTATTTTTACTTTAATATTTTAATATAAATATATAATGTAAATATATTTATACTAAATGTATTCATTTTAAACTAGTAAATACAAATTTTAAAAAGCGCTACAAAAAAATTGAATTAGGCTATTACAAACATACACAACGTACTGTTCCACCTCGTTTGTACATCTTGTTTTAATCATTTTTGTGGCATCATTTGCAGTTCAATTTGAATATGTTCCAAGAGAATATACGCAAGTGGCGAATGCTAAAAATGTCCCACAATTTTCTCCCACTGGTAACAGTGTCACTTACAATTCGCTGTGATGGCAGTCCCTTAATCTACACCAAGTGTGCAAAACAGCCCAAGCCAGCTACTCCATTGCTTTTTTGATATTACTCGCGTTGTCTCACACGATTGCATGCACTTTGTTTAGTGGGATTTCCACTAAACGCTGCTTTGAACTCTCAAAACTTTGTTTTTTCAAAGATTGGAAATCACTGTGCCGCTAGTTGTTGTTAAAAGCGTAAAATACTTCCAGACCATCACCCTCTTATCTGAAGTTCTTCGACTCGTCCTGCTGCGAAGGTATGCGCATGACGTCACAGCAGGCGGAAGTCATTGCGCCTACACCCACTTCGTAGCAAAAAACTGAGTGGCATTTTAGCGCTCAGCTTGAATGCCGCAAAAGCACTAAATCTAAAATAGGAAAGAGCTGCCGTGCGACTGATTGTACAAAATCAATTTAACAAGAAATAGGAGCTCTCTTTTTATAGACTGCCGAAAACTAAATAAGTAAGTATCGGACATGGATCAGTCACATATGGCCGATACCCGATCCGTCTAGTAGATATGGATCAGTGCCGATGCCGATCCAAATATCGGATCGGTGCACCTCTAGTTGCCGCACAACTATGATTTAACATTATACTGTAGATTTAGAATTTATACTAATTTCTGTTGCTCATTCTCTTGTTTGAAATGTTCCTTCTATCACGTGCACAGGATGCAGTGAAACAATAATAAATGACAATAATTTGTGTAAGGCTTGGTCTGTATGTTTTTGCAATTGTTTCTTTTTCTCTTTTTTGCCGAGTTAGAAGCAGGACCGTTATTCTATTGCTTATAAAATGAAGAAAAAAGCCTTTAATCTTTGTGATGCAAGTGAAGAGCCCTGACCTGTGCAGATTCCGAAGAAAGTGCCTCCTCTCCTCTGCACACGAGTGTAACATGTGAAACCTTGTAGGACAGCTGGTGTTTTCCTCCTGCGAGAGCTTCTCCTGCATGTTCTCCATACACGACATGCTGAATATCACACTTTGGCTTCCTCATTATGCTGCTCTTTTTATGCTGGTCAGAGTTTTGCCATATTTACATTTATTTATTTAGCAGATGCTTTAGTCCAAAGCAACATAAAAGTGAGGCAGATAGTTTGTAGCAAACATGCAGCTGCCAAGAGTCAACTAGGCAGAGAGAGAATGATCAACTCATGGTTGTTGTTCTAGGTGATATATTTTGGTTATGGCGCAGTGACAGGACAGGCAGGGCAGGCAATGGCCTGAGGCCCCCGAGCTGGGAGGGGGCCCCCCGAATGCAACCGATTACATAGTACATTGCAATGACAAATCTGCTTTATTTGCGTATTCTGTTTATCACAAAAGTCAAAATAAAGGTCTTTTGTTGATTAAATTCTCTTTATTGATATTATAAATTTATGCTTCCCAGTAAAAAAATTAAAAAGTAATAAGTTTTAACATGCTGGGGGAAGGGGTTGTTGGAAGGCCCCATAGAGTTTTTTGCATAGGGGCCCCAGAGTCCCTAGAATCACCTCTACTTATGATCAAGTTAACTTGATGTAGTAAGAGAGAAATATAATGTAAGTGTGGTACCTTAAAGACAAGGACCAAAGGCACATGGAGTATCTAACTACTAAATTCTGTTTTCTAAGCACATTCCTAATCACATGAATCAGGTACTTGAAACAACACACATATCCTTTGAAAATATGATGTTAGCAGTGTTCCGTCTGTTAATTGCCAGGAGGGCGCTGATACCAGAGACGCGTGTTTTAGTTAAGGGACGCAGGTCAAAAATCATATTCATATCCTTTCAGCCTTTTTGGATGACAGTGAGTTCCATGGGCCCAGATGGCGGCTGCAGCCCAGCGACGTGACGCTTCCCGTGGACGACCCCGAGCAGGAGGCTGTGCTGCCGTGCCAGGCGGAGGGACTGCCTTCTCTCCAGTACAGGTACTGTACACCGTGGGCCCTTCCGCTTACTCCCACAAATGTGCCCCGTCTTTTCTTTAGCATGAAGCTTCACGGGGTGATTGGTCAGCCAACCAAACATAGATGCAAATATTTTTGCTTCGGATTCGCATACGGCGCACTGTTGCTCTCTGTGTGAATGTTGAAATATTTACAATACTGTCCATTTAAAGGACACTTGGAATGTGGAATATAAATTTGAGGTTTTAAATTGCTGTGTATGGGTTTAAGCACCACGCTGCCTAATTATGTTCAATAAAAAGCTTAAATCACTGCGTCAATTCTTAACCTACTTATCCTTTGAATGTCAAATACCCTTAATTTTATGTCTCTCAGAAGAAAAGAAGAAAAAAATTCCGTGGAGAAATGACACACTGAAGTAACCTAAAAATGAGGCAGTGATATTTTTAGCTGTGTACAACTGATTGTGAGTGCTTTCCGAAATTTTAGGTAACCAAATTACACTGCCTGGATCTGCTACATGAACAAATATAATTCAATACTCCCTGCCGTGCAGAAAGCCTCAGAACAAAACCCGCCATTGTTTGTGGAAGATTGTATTACTGGGTTCGGTCAGCGTTGTGTCGACAGCTCAGCAGCAGCTGAGTCTGGCATTAGCCTGCGATTGATTAGCCCGTTAAACATGTTGCCTTTTCTCTAATGACTCCCCACTAAAATTGCAATCTGACATTCACAGCAAAATGGATATCTGCATTACCACATCTCACAACTGGTCATGTATAACCGAAACCAGCTTTCCAACGGGAGGAATGGAAGAAAAAGCGGATTTCTTTGAAAGTGTTGTAATTGGACATTAAATTTAAATCACGCCTCGTAGCCATTGTGATCCTGTCTCTGAGACTGAGGCAATCAATACCTGAATGGAGAGCTTCTCTCCATCAGTGGTGAGGGCGTGGAATCAGCCAGACAGCTTCCCAAGATTCAGGAAGTGGGGAGATACTTGGCTTTTGTAAATTAAACTCTCGAATATGATATCTAGTTAAAAAAAGAAGCAGCACATGCAAAAACATGTGCATGTGTTTCATAAAACTTAAGTCATCCCACACAAGGAAGATACAGTGGTGTCCAAAAATATTAGCCTGCCAAGGAAAATTATGTTTAAATCATCTCATGTTGGTGTAAAACTGATGTCTGTCAAAGTGTGTCAGCTTAACCCTTTCAAAACCTCTCTTAAAGTCAGAATTAACCAGTCAGATGCAGTAACCATCCAAAATAGCTATGAATTTATTCACTCACTGGCATACCATGTTCAGCTAATCGATATCTCATCAAACCATTTAGCTAATTAAATTAATTAAGTGAGCTGGTGGAAAAGGTTACAAGAAAGGGTTGGCGTTGCATAAGATACATGAAGTGATTCTGAGTGTTGGGTGTTTTGGGCCCAGATCTATGTCATTAAAATGCCACGGCGCTCTGTATGTTGACAGTTTTGTTGACAGTAGTTCCAAAAGGCACTCTGAGTGGGTGTGGAAACGCAGTCTCCTTGGTGTATCTCACAGCCTTTCACAGTCATAGATAGCTGAGCTGCACGTGTGATAGTGCAGTTTTGGTTCCATACAGGGCACTTCAGTTGTGGCCTTCAGTATCACTTATTTTGTCCAAACAAGCATGAGGCCGTGTAATCGGCCATTGCAGTGAAGGAAAGGTGTGTCGCCCCAGGACCTATATAGCGTAGATGGCAAAGGGTAAGGAAGGCAGAAGGCACAGGGATTGAAGTTGTCAGGGATAGATTATGGGCTCTCTAGTGGCTCGGACAGGGGTGAGCTGCTTTAGGGTAAGATGTTGGAAACAGCACAGAGCCTGTGTGCGTGCATGCATGTCTCTGTGTGTGTGTGTGTGTGTGTGTGTGTGGCTTATGTTTACATTACATTGTGGGGACCAAATGTGATAAAAAATATGCTGTTTTGACATTTTTGGGACCATTTTCCAGGTCCCCAGAAAGATCTGTGAATGTAATCAACAAAGTAAAAATGCCAATAGTCTTGCATTTTGTTTGGTTACTTATGGCTATGGTTAGGGTGCGTGTGTGTGTGTGTGTGCGTGTGTGTGTGTGTGTGTTTCAGGCAGCCAGCACTCACTGTGCATGTTCCGCACTGTCTCTTTATGATGCAGCACCCCCACCCCCACCCATAGTGCGGCCCGGAGAGGCCAGTGTCGCAGCCACAGAATAAATTACCTGGATACAGCCGCAGGGCACATAAAACCCTAACAGACAGTTTAAAACCCGACTCCTTGTTCTCTGGCAGCGGCCAGGACAGCAGAAGCGGCACGTTTTCCTCCTTCTGGAGATTCACATTCCGCGGCGGGTAGGTGGCGACGTGACTGAATCCGATTAGCACATCCAGAGTATAAGTAAAAATAAATTCAAATTTGCAGCAAACAAGCACACTAACTTCAGGATTTTCTGTGAACTTGCCTTAAGCAGTATTCATTGTGTAGCCCATTGTGATCTTGTCTTTTATAGGAAATGTAACATGGCCAGCCAAGATCCTGGGTAAAACCACCAGAGTTGATCTGTGAGAATATTTCGTTTGTAATATGGCATTCATCCCTGCTGAGGGAGAAAAGGAAAAAACCTTATTTGTTTTTCTTATCCATTTTATGGTGATGAATTCATCGCCTGTGCTCATGAAATGGGACCTTCACTACAGGGAAGAGATGCCAAGCTCCCGGCCCCTTGGAGGCGATGAGGAGATGATCTAAGTGGGGGTGTGATTCCCCAAAGGATGCGTCCCAGGAAATCAGTTTCAACTGATTAATCGCCCTGCCTGACAGGCGAGTCTATAACTGATGCTCTCGGAAGACGGAATGATGAAGTTAAGGCGTGATGATGAACGAGGTGTGAAACGCTGTTCCTTGCATCGCCACTCAGAGGGACTGGCATGAAAGCACTAACGCAGTGGCGGCCAGCCACGTCCTCGTGCGGCTTGTATGTTGTAGCTAGGTGTGAGAGTGTCAGGGAGGGCAGCGAGGGGGGGGGGCTGAAACAGCGTTAGGTCTACGGAGATGCTGTCGTTAGCTCCCAGTGGGCTGGGACAGTGGAGGGGATCAGCGGACAGCCTGTTCTGCCTGTGCATTCTTCTGGAGCCCAGAGACGTGGCTTTGGTGAATTGGTGCTTCTCTTTGTACCCTGGTGTGAGTATTTGTGAGTCAATACTCGGCGATGGCTTACTGTCCCATCCAGGGTCTCCCTTGCCTCATGTGACGTGTTTCCTGCAATAGACCCCAGGTTCTCTGGGACCCCAAGCTGTAAAGGAAACGTACATGTATGGGAGCTGTGGTCTTTTGCTCATTAGACCCCCCCCAACCACACAGAATTTTAAATGTGAGTATTTTGTGTACAACCATACCACGGGAAAAGGGCACTTTATTTTAGTTAAACACTCAATGTGATTGCTGTAATACTGGATTGGCCAAAAATATGTTTACATATAAGGTCACCATTCAGAGAGAGGGCAAGCATGAGCATCTTATTAAATTCACACATCAATAATGTCATGGTGTTTATAGAATGAAAAAGGCGACACAATTTGTTATGCTAGAGTAGGGCTCACTGCAATCAGGCACCGCCTAAGGTCACATTTCCCTGGCCCCTGATTGGCTTGAGTCTGGATCACATGTCTCAGTTCTGCCAGGGGGTTCTTCTGTTTACGTAACACCTAGGGGTGGCACGGGGTCATGGGGCTGCAGCGGTGCCAGCGCTGGCTGTTCACTACTGTAACAGGGTGAAGCGCGTGGTTGGTGGTGGCGGTGGGGGGGCGGCCTCCCAGCCCCGCCACTGTAATCTGCAGGCTGTTTGTCTGTGGGAGGCTGATGACTGGAGAGGCCGGTGGTGACGGGGCCAGCTGTGCTCAGCGCTGTGTCGGTGTCATTAGGCGAGGTGGCCAGGCGCGTCTCTCTGGCTGTGTGTGTCCCGCACGCTTCACACAGCCAACATTCCTGACCAGAAAGAATAGCAGTCCATCCATCCATCCATCCATTTTTCATACGCGCATCTCCGGAGTCCAGAGCCTATCCCCGACGCTATGGACATGAAGCGGGGAACATCCCAGGATGGGGGGTGGGGGGGCTGTAGCTAACCCACTACTCCTGTACTGGATATGTTGTGCTGAGAACCAAAGACGTCCCACTTATATTTGGAAGAAGGGGCTCGTAAGAAGACTCGTGGATGAAATCTGATCTGCGTCCTTAATTCTTATTGATACTTTGATTCTGAACTGCCAGTGACGGGAACGGGAACGGGAAGCTGACTTCGCAGGCCGGCTGGTGTTTGTCGATTACCTGAAGCACAGAATCACAGTGACTAGTTGACACTGACTGCTAGAAACATTGTGTAATGGAACAGATGACTTAAATCTGCTTAGATGATGTAAACTATGGTGCTGCGTGTCATTTTGAAAGAGCTGCTCTGTGAGGAGTCTTTTTTTGGCCCCCGCTTCCAGCAGCCCTCTGCCTGCCGTGCATTGACAAAGCAGGCTGATTCCCCCATTCTTATTCAAAGGAAGGTTTTTAAAAAGAAAGCGGAGCGTATTTTTGTCTGATCCAGTGAGAAGCTCGTGATGCGTGGAGCGAATGGTTTGGGACTAAATGCATTTGAATTATCTACAGATGTTTCTGAGCTGTTAAAAAGGGGATTTAAATAGACCACTCCTCTGTGGGCCTCAGTTTTATTAGACAAATCCACTTTTTATTTAGGATGCACAGCAGACAGCAAGTATTTCACTGATACCATGCAGACCTGTCACATGATGATTATGTCTGTCACAGTCCCCGGAGTAACATTCATTTGACTGAGTGAAAACCATGTGGCCCCTATTTCCCGTTACTGTACAAACCTTGCTTACCGATTCCATGCCCTGCTTAAATATACCATTTGCACAAGGGTGAGTACAGGTGCATTGAAATGCTTCTCTTTGCTGACCCCATCCTGCTCACCTTGCTTGGGGGGTCACAGTGCAGGGTCAGCCAGTGAGTGGCACCCACCAGCTGGGGGTTGAGGGCCTTGCTGAAGGGCCCAGAGACACGTGGTTATTTTGCTGCGGTCAGGGCTCACGCCAAGAATCGTCCAGTCACAGTCACAGAGACTGAGCCTGCTGAGCCGCAGACTTAGACTTAGCCGCTCACTTCTGTCACTTGATGTTGGTCTCGCTCATGCTTTTGAATTGTTTAAAAATAATAATTGTAAAGAATTGGGTGATCAGTGTTGACACACCACAGCAGACAACAACGAAAGGTGTCCTCTGCATTTAACCCATATGTGACGTAGCAGGGGGCAGCTGATGCATCGCCTGGGGAGCGGTGCTTGGGGAGGGGGGGGTACTTCCTGGTCAGGGATTCAAACCAGCAATCTTTCAGTTATAAATGTGCTTCCCTAATCATTAGGTCACCACTTTACTTTAATAGTAAAGTAATAATCTCCTGAAACAAATAACAGTTTGCGGTGTAAACAGCTCACATGCCATCCACTAGAGTGAAAGAAGGCAATTTTAGCAAGTAAAGAAATGTTACCCCCCCCATTGCAAAAGGTGTGCTTACAGCTACTCAGAGTATTAAACCACAAGTTGGTTAGTTGCTTACTATAATTTTTGGGTACTCTTGAATGTTTCAAATATACTGTAGGCATTTAGTTGAATTAAGCTGCAAAATACCTTAAACATGGCGAAATTTGGCAGCTGAAAGCCAAAACCTAAGTGTTGATGAAATTGAAACTCCTTTTTCGAATTTAGTCAGCAGGTCATCACAGTGTCAATTTGGAATGGTATCGAAGCAGTTTTGTGTACGTTTCTATGGGGAAACACGCTTATGCGCTCGGCAGGGAACCGCAGGCCTTTACACCACTGATGTTATCTGCATTCATTGCTGACCCAGTAGGAAATGAACAATTTGGCAGCCATACCCATGTAACGCTTGCATGGGAAATCGAATTTTACGGGCATTACCGGTGACAACAGCAAGACCGCTAAGTGGCACGCTACAAAGATTTTGCATGTTTGAACGGTTAGTGTGGCCAGCTGGAAGTGGTGCCCCACCCACTCCCAAACCCCCCCCCACAGCCCTCCCACAAGCATGACCGTCATCACCACCAAACACCACCAAGGCAGAGCTCATGCAGAATTGGTAAAAGCGAGTGTAGGGCTCGGCAGAATGGACGAGCTCGCCAAAACGCACCGGAACGGAGCCAGCAGCTACTCCCATGAAGGTTGTGGATTTAAACATGGTGGGTGAGAAGGATTTAACAAGAGAAAGCAAGCTGGGTGTGCTCCCACAGCGATGGGGGGTACCACCCTCTGGGTCATGGAGAGCGAGGTCACGCAGCATGCAGTCTGCAGACACCAAACCTCTACAAGTTTAATGCTCTTTTTTTTGTGGGGGATGGGGGGGCTGGGGTTGTAGTGCAATTTTCCCATCACAAAGACATTGTTCACATGGATATATTGATGTTTATTTAATGGTTCTTGTATATGCCAAGAAGTATTTCTCCTCCTATACACAGAGTAATACTTTGCATCAGCATATCAGCGTAACTATGTGCATCTCTCACTCTCTCTCACTTTTGCTTCTCCCATTTCAGATAAAGGCTATTAAATTAGCCGCCGTGCAATTCAAGACATACAGCCGAGTGCTGAAATAACCACACGCTAAGATGCACTTCTGAGTGTCTATAAAAATTTATTCAGTGAGCGTTTCATTTCAGTCAGTTGCTTAAAAAATGTGAGCATTCATAATCATTCAAAACATTCTACAGCAGAAAACTAGATTCATATAAAAAAATCTGTGCTTTCTGCTGACATCTGTATATTTTTAGCTACATAATGTGTAGAATAACACAAATTGCGTCACATCTTGTTAAAATTTAGTTTATAGATATGGGTGTAATAGTGACAAGTGCTCACCACCATAGATGAATTATGCAGGAGATGAGATGAAAGGCAGCCTTACCTTTTGTTGTCTTGATGGCAGGTATCTGGGGGACCTGATGGCTTGTTTTGAGACTAGGAAATTAGTTCTCGCTCTTTGTTGTTTTTGTATTTAGAAGGAGCTTTGGGATGGATGATGGGGTTCAGAGAGCAGACCTATAGGAATTCTGAGAAATGCGGGACTACTGGGATTCTGTCGGGGTCGGCTAGTTAGATCATTTTAAGTGTTCCTGAGGTTTGAATTATTCTTCAGAGATAGAATACCATTGAAAGTTCAAGCTGTCATACAGATATTTAAAAATTATTATATTTATTATTTAGGACAGTCCTAGATAGACCTCAGATTAATGTTCTTTTGGTCAGTTAGGGACAGGACATACTTATGCCAGTTCTGTACTTAATAAACCATACTGTTGACAGTGACATTTTTTCCAGGTGGTATTGCTGGCATTTTGTTCTTTTGTAACACAGTACATATTTATTTAAATGACAACAAAGGCAAACCTTCTTAATAAACATCATTAAATTGTACATTCACCTAGAATAATTAACAAATTCTTGCCTCGTGATTAAATTTTCACGCTCGAGAGCACAGAGAGTAGCTTGTGATATACTCATTACCTGATCACATCTGTGTCTTGCAGGTGGTCCGTGAATGGGACACCAGTCGATTTCAGCACCGACGGCCGGCGCCGCCTCTCCGGGGGGAATCTCATTATCGGGCATCCGGATCGGACCTGGGACGCTGGGACATACCAGTGCATAGCTACTAATTCAGTGGGAACAATCCTCAGCAGCAGAGCGACCTTGTGGTTTGCATGTGAGCTGCCGAGCTCGGCCCCCGCAGCGATGCGACGCGAGAGGAACCCGAAACTGAAACCGTGGCAACGGCAGTTTGATGCCGAAAGAATCAAACCAAAGATTTTCTTTAGCTTTTCTAAATTCCTAGGGCCCTATTTAGTTCATCCTGCATAGAGCGGCTCCCCGGCGTCTTTGCTGGCATGAGCCTGACATAGTCGTCATTTTCGTGGAATTCCTCCCCCAGGATTTCTCAGTTAGCTAGAAGGTCATGATTGTCCAATAAGAGTGTAGGTAAGGAGCATCCCTACTGGCCAATCACGACTTCTCTATAACACTAGCTTAAGTTAACCTAGCTAAATGAGAAATCTTAATTCATTGAACACCCCCATGAGTCAATGGTGCAGCATTTCACTGTTATTTTAAGAGAGCATCATCAAAACAGTAACATGCGCCTACACAGGCCCATGCACAGAACATGTGCGCTGCTTGTTACATGCACAGAAGCGCACAAACATGCAAAACATTAAAAATTTAAAAAATACAATATGAAAGATACTTTAAAGTGTACATAGAAATGTTTTAAGGAATCAAAGTCATAGTGGTTAGTCTCTGGATCTTCAGCCAGAGGAGCTACATGACATTTATGATTCATTTGTTGTATGGCTTTGTTACAGGTGTTTAATGTAAAATAATCAAATAATTTATAAATATTTTGTCCTGCTCCCACCCGCAAAGGAAAAATATGTTTTGCTTGACTATGACTATAAAGAACTAAGACAAACCTGTAGCCTCAACAAATAGGGTACAGTACAGTACGTTCAACAGATGAAACAGGCGATTTTAGCATAATAGTAAGCTAGACACTCACATAGGCACACTGTACCTGTATTTCACCCGCCACAATGTTCGCAATAACAGGTCATAGATCTGCACAAACAAAACCCACATATTTGTGAGTTTTTTTAAATTTTTTTGCAGTTATACCTTTTGATTTTCTTGCACTTTCACTTAATGCCAGTGTAGTCTAGCCTTTCAAAGCACACGTGACCCTGAAGTGCGAGACCAGTGTATGATAGCACATTGTTGCTTTTGTCACAATGTGCAGAAGGCGAGTGGTTCCCATTGTGGTCGCTTTCACTGACAAGGACTGTAGAATATCTGATTTGCCGTTACTACGTCTGACATTAAGTAGTTATTCAGTTTTATATTCACTTTCCCTTAGCAGGTTCTTACATCCTCAGACATTGAAGTGTTTCGTGCCAGTTCTGCTATCATTAGCTGGGCGCTCATGAGAGTGACAAGGAACCTTCAACATGCTGTCTTACTTCTGAAAGTTCCAGGATAGGCTGGCTGTGTAAAAACCAAATCAGGCATAATTAGTCTTAATACGTTGGGCTGCAGTGGACCCATCGGGTGCAGAACAGAAGGCCGCATTTGTAGTCCACATCTGAAGGAGCCTTCGGAATGAGTCGTCACACCGCTGTGACGCATTCGGTGCGCAGCAACATTTGATGGCCCACCATCAATACCCTAATGACCCACCAGGGGGCTGTGGCCCACAATTTGGGAAACGCTGGCTGTATCCGAATTCAGGGGCTACATCCTTACCCGGCTGCATTCGAAGACCGAATTCATCACAGCGGTGTGACAGTGCTGTACCATTTTGAAGGCTCCTTCGAATGTGGTCTAGAAATGTGTCCTTCTTTTGCCGAGTCGCAAGGAATCCACTCGAGGTAAAGTGGGTGTGTTCCACCTAGGCAATAGGAGCAGCTCTTCATTACTGAAGAGTAAGGGTGGGATCAGCTGTTGACACATACAGGAAATTATCCACAGACAGTCCCATTGGACAACGCTTTCAGTTTGACCTTTGATCCATGATCCATGTGAATCTCCCTATGGTTCGGCACACATGTGAACCGCCGATTAATTTGTAAAGTTTAAGCATAATAATGTGAAATACAGTTTTACTGCCAGTGTTGTTTTTTAAAGTAATAATCCCCTAAATCTCAATGGCATGGAAGTCCACAGAGGACATGGATTCAGGGCTTGAAATTCATTTCTCTCAACGGGGGAGAATTTCCCCCCTTATGTGTAACACATAGGGGGGCAATAATAGATATTCGGTGAGAATGCGGTGAAATGCTGCACGTAGATACCTACAGTTTTTGTTTCCCTTCTGGTTATTTTGTGACCTCAAGAAAATAACTTTGGATGTGTTGAGATCACGAGAAAAATAAGTCATAATCTCGACATTACAAGTCAGAAAAAAGATAATAATGTATTTCCTCTATGGATTTCTGTACAATGCAGTGAAAAGATTCTTCAAACACATTAATATAAAACTGTTATTAGGCTGCTAAAACGCCATGTGCAGTTATAGGAAAATAATAAACAGCCATGTGACGTCTCTGGAGCAATAAGAAAATAGCATTTACCAAAGCTGTGGTGTAAAAATAAATAATACATAGATCATGCCCTTTTCTCCTTCAGAAAACACATGCATATTGATGCAGATTACCGGTATCACCGTGCATTTTGACACATCTGACGGTGATGATGCAGCCAGTTCTGTTTGGTCACGCTTTTAGCCCTGCTAGCAAGCAGAGCCATGTCAGCATGGGTAGCATGGGCCTCGCATCATTTGCAATGGTAAACCATCTCTTTGCTGTACGGTTTGGTTCCCGGTGGCAGGAAAACTGCCATTTCTTGCCTCACAATTGAACCTATTGGTCTGGATCACTGTTTTCAGCAGAACAAACTAGGAATCCGAAATCATCTCACAACCCACCCCCTGTGGAGTCACTCTGTTATATTTCTGTCCTTTCCAGAGTTTGCTTTTTTTTTTTTTTTTTTTTTTACCTGGCAGCCTGCAAGAAAATGTTCATTTTGTCCCATTTTGCCATTTATTTTTTCAAATGCTTAGTCCAGTTTAGATTTCCTATAGTGATTCTCATTGTTATTGTCAAATGGTGAATAACCCTTCACCACTGCGCTGCCTAGAATAACTGAACTGTTTAGAGTTTCTCCTTAAACACTGCCAGCTCCTGCATTAACTTCCTGCTCTGCTATACACCCTTTGAGGTCTTTTCTAAGAGAGTCGTCTAACTTGTTGACACATCGACTCGGTTGTTTTTGTTGCCTTTGAGTTCTGAGCGCTATCTGCCTATTGTGACTAAGACTGTCACTCCATATCAAAATGACTAGCAGTGTTTTGCATGGATTGTTGAGAAAAATAAGTCTGTTTCTGTCTCTTGTTGCAGATTTGGAGATGTTTAAGAGTCAGACGAGAAGCGCTGTCTCTGTTCGGGAAGGACAAGGCGTCGTCCTGTTGTGTGGGCCACCTTCTCATTCTGGGGGCAAGTCAACAGTCATTAGCTACTGAAACTTATAAGAAACAGAACATTTTTAAATCAGCATAGATTATCCATGCCTAAGGACAGTGGGGAAAACCTTTTAGTAAATATTTTTAACTTTCAGTAAATATATATAACTTTCAGTGAATGTGTGTGCGTGTATGTTTTTTTTTTTATTTCCTACTTTTTCTTAATGTTTTTCCTGTTTCTGAAATATGAAAGCATGGAGAGTCACAAGTCGGGAACTTAAAATTTGATAGCTTATTGCATAAGAATGGAACAACTTTATTTGAATTAAAAACCATCATTCAAATCAGACCTTAGTGTAGTATGGAATGCTTACCGTATGGTCCTGCTAGGATGAGCCCTGGGATTTGTTCTTGCCGAGAAAGCACAGGTGTGGGCTGGCTGCCTGCTCGTGGGCTTCAAGTTCAGTCAGCCAGTCAGGTCACAAACTGACATTAGGGGAACCAGTGTCGTCCACCCAGAATGCTGGGATGTTGGTCAGAGCCCAGCCGTGTTCATGCAGATGGAGCAAAGCTGGTCCAGGAAGAGCTCTGCTCTTCATCATCCTGTTGATCTGACGAATTAATCAAATATAAAGCTTGAAATATGAAATACTAATTCTGCAAGGCTTTGGTGGGGCTCATGGCTGAACATTTTGTGGGGCATCTCTTAGTTTTCACCTCATTTTCTTTTTTTTGGGGGGGGGGGGGCATTGTCAGCTCATGGGAGTTTTATTTACACAAACTTGTTCGGAGGGCAGAACGAAATCGTTTTTTCATTCTGCCCTGAGAACATTTTTGTGTAAGTAAAACTCCCACGCATTTTGACACCAACAAAATGATTTTCTTCCTGTTTATAGAACTTACTTTCACATGGGTCTTCAATGAGTACCCAAACTTCATCCAGCAAGACTCCCGTCGCTTTGTGTCCCAGGTGACCGGAAACCTGTACATCGCCAAAGTGGAGCCGTCAGACGTTGGCAACTACACCTGCGTGGTGATCAACAGTGTCACCAAAGGCAAAGTTCTCAGCTCGTCCACACCACTGGTGCTGAGAACTGATGGTAAGATCTGTTCTCTTCTTCTTAGTCCCTCGAAGAGTTTATTGTAGGTATGACTTCTTACCTTTTAAAAATGACTCTGAACAAAAACAAACACATTTGGCCACAAGCTTGAGCTATAGCCTTCATATAGATTTAATCACATACCTTCTGTCTGATAAAAGTTTAACTATTGGTTATTGCTAATAATGTCTTGATAGACGTATTTCATATCTGTTTTATTGGAAAAAAATGCCTATCCTGTAGCTTAAAGTGCCAAATTGATATGTTCCATTTTACGTGACTTCACTGTCCTTCATTTAGGCCTACTGCTAATATAGCCACAATGGTTGCTGTGTACAGATCGGATGCAAATTCCAGGCATTTTGTTTTGCTGTTCTAGCATTTTTTTGCTATATTCTTAGGTATATGTTGAAGTAAAGTATAGTTTAAGTTAGGCATATATCTTGATAGTCATGAATTATGGATGCTGAAAAGTAATTTGCGTATTGTCTGTCTATCGCAGGAGCAATGGGTGAATATGAGCCCAAAATAGAAGTTAATTTTCCAGAGACCGTCCCAGCTGCAAAGGGATCAGCTGTTATGCTGGAATGCTTTGCCCTCGGAAAGTAAGCAGTGTTTTGTTAAATGTACCTTTTGTCAAAAACGTTTTTCCGTTGAAGAAGAGGCCTTGTTTTAATCTGGGGAGGAAGAGGGGACCTTCCTCTGTATTTGAATGAATTTCTTTTCTCTCTTTTAATCTTTTCGGAAATTGTAATGTCTGTATTTGCTATTATGCACTAGATAAACAGTATGGAAGATGGATGGATTGGTGTATTTTTAGATATACTGTCGATAAGAAAATGCATATGTAATTTGTGTAGGTTTCCTTTATTGTACGCTTATCAAGTGGGGGCACTTTTGATGGATTCCCCTGTTTCTCAGCACTCATTTGCACGTGACCAAGTCATAAAACGCAAAGCATTTCACAAAAAGATCAATGTCTGACTCCTCCCATTCTTAGATCAGGGGATTTCAGCATCAACCACCGCGGAGAGCAGTAGAATGTTTCTCAGATGAGGCCAGCTGCATGGTCACATCCTCTCAGCAAAATGTCTTGGAAAGTAAAGCTTTGCAAAATGAAAGAATTTGCAAAAGAAAAAAAAAGAAATCTACTTTCACTGCTGTGAAATCATGCCGTTTAGAGACTGGCTTTCAGATTTTGGTTAAGATGTTATAACTGCGCCCATGAGCAAGATACTTTACATCACTTCAGGAAAAGAAACTGATTTGTATAAAAGGCTTACCACCTTCATTCATGGCATTTAACTAAATGGTTCTAACTTGAGCAAAGTAAATGCATTATGCAGTGTAATACAGGCAGTGCCCAGGTTACGCACGACATCCTTTCCCTAAGTCTGTTTTTAAGCCAGAAAAATAAAACAATACATAATTGCAATAGTAATTATTCAGTAATAATAAAAGCAACTGCGTATGGTACTGTACTGAAGCCAGTCAATGTTTTCACAAGCATTACAAATAGCGCATGAATTTTTATCATGAATCGTTGTATTTAACCTGAAATTTATGGCAGTCCGTTCATAAATAAGATTTGTGCGTAATCTTAATCTGCGTGTAATGCAAAAAAATTAAAAACCATTTTTTGTATACAGTACATACCGTGTAACATAGATATTTCAGCTTGTCACCCTGAATTTTCAGTTGGTATTTTTAACACTTAATGCCAGAAATGAAAGTGAATTGGCCAATAAATGATGACACGTTTAACTGTAACTCAGAAGAGGTGTGTTAATAACATGGACACTCCAGATAACTGTTCAGTTTTTTCCTTCCACTGGTCCTTGCAGTCCAGTTCCCGAAATCACATGGAGGAGAGCCAATGGTGTCCCATTTCCGAGCAAAGTGAAGGTGCAGAAGTCGAGTGCGGTCCTGGAAATCCCCGACTTCCAGCAGGAAGACGCAGGGGGCTATGAGTGCGTTGCCGAAAACACCAGGGGCAAGAACGTGGCAAGGGGGCGCCTGTCTTTCCATGGTGTGTGTAACATTCTGGGGACTCCAGTGTGGATGAGGAGGGATATCGTGGACTGCGGATACTGGGGGTGTGACTAGACAGCGGGAAGTGCAGTGCATTTGATGAATGTTTCTGTATGTGAAAGCAGCTCTTGCCTATAATAGGTAAAAACAAGCGTCCTCTGATGCATCACAATTAACTTGTGCAAAAGCTGCTTTACTCAAAGGGAGATTATCGGTGCCAAAGAGGCGTCACTCCTCATTACCGAAGCCTGACGTTTTACAACGGCTGAGGGATTCTGGCTGTATTAACATTTTAAATGCTTTCACAGTAGCATGCCATTAATCATTACCTATTCAGTGGCCAGCTAGCCTCTGCAAGTCTGCATGTGCTTCTGCGGTCGCATGTGGGAATGCAAAATGTGAAATGCGAGTTGACAAGCATGCCGACAGGAACGGCACTGTGTATATATCCAAGTGACAAGAAAACTAAATTACTTCCTTTGAGAGTTTCTTGAAAAGGCTGTGGTTACTTACGGAGGTGAAGAGTAGCGATTATATTCAGCATTTTGCTGGGAAATATATTTGTATTATGATAATTGCACATGGCTGGATAGTGAACAACACTCTGTGGAGCAAGTGTTTGTTCTGTCCTGAGTCTTTGGGAAAATTACGTTGTAATTCTCCATGAGCGTGAATCACTCTTATTTAGAAGTTGGAATTTCTGCATTTTTTTAAACAAAAAGTGTCTGTCTTCACAGCAAAGCCCCAGTGGATCCAGACGGCGACAGACACGGCTCTGGCCATCGGGGAGAAGCTGCTCTGGGAGTGCAAAGCCAACGGGAAGCCCAAGCCGTCCTACAGTTGGCTCAGAAATGGAGAGACCCTCGCTACAGAGGTAAGATCCTTTTCCCAGCAGTCTCTCTGCTGACTGTCAAGCGTGGTACACTGGCATGGGGTTATATACTTTTGTTTAGATTTCAAAAAAACATTAGTAAGACCCAATCAAGTAAATCTTGCGATCATGAATAAGAAGGTATGGGAGAGAAAGCCCTGTAATACTTGTGTATTAGCCTTGTTTTTCTTGCCCGGACTTCTGCATCGGTGTGTGTGACCTGCCATGTCACTGATGGCAATATCCTGCCTCGCTCCTTATTATAGCACCTGAGTGGTCAACATAACATTGACTCCGTTTGTCATCATCAGGGAGGAAGGGTCCAGGTGGAAAACGGAGCTCTATCTATAGCGGCAGTGAACCTTTCCGACGCCGCGATGTATCAATGTGTAGCTGAGAACAAACACGGCGTCCTCTATTCCAGTGCTGAGCTGCTGGTGCTGGGTAAGCCCCCCCCCCTCCCCCCCCTCAATTTTTTGGTTCCTTTCTATGTACAACAGAGGCTTTGAGGTTAATGGTTTAGACAGTCCTGCCTCCTCCATGTAATCTATAAGCAGTGGAAAAGTCACAATACACCCCTCTGTGGGAAATAGGGCTGGGTGTGAAGGTTTTCTTCTGTTTTTTTTTTTTCTTCAAGACTTTCTTTAAATGGATCATGCGACTTTTGAAAGGGCTGCGTTGGGCTTCCTGCTACTATAAATCCCATATCGATTGTCTGAAAAGACTGAAGCAGTTTGTCTTCCTCCTGACAGTATGAGCTGAATCTGAAGATTACAAATGTTACAAACAATGGAATTTTTTTTTTCATTATATTGCTGGTTAGATTAGGCTGGTTAAAATCCATGACAGAGACAAACATATTAAACTGGGTGTTTTTTTCTGGTGTTTTAGGATTCACACTATCAATGATGTCTCCATAGCTCCCTAAAGTCAAGTATTATTTTTCTAGAACTTCAATGCTATAGGTTTTGTCACTCATGTGATCATATTTAAATTTGTATGGTGCCAGAGCTTCACAGGGATGGGTCAGTTTATTGTTCTTAAACACCAAGTTTCTTCCAACCCAGAGCCAAAGAACTCACGCTATAAGCCTGTCATACCTTTCAGAAGGTTTGGACTCCATTAAGCAGGAACCGCTGGTGAAGATAAGACTATTTTTACAATGTCACAGGTCAAGGTGGTTTTCAAACACCATATTGGAGGTGTTGCTCAGTCGGATTGGAATTTGTCACACACCATGAAATCTTTGATAGATGAAGACATAATGGATCATAATGAAACAAGTTCTTGAAGACCTGAGAACAGCAGAAGCACATCACCACTGTATATTCTTTGCAGCATCACCTCCTGACTTCACTGGGAGGCCGCTGAGGACCTTGCTGAAAGCCAGGGCTGGCACTGAGGTTGTGCTGGAGTGCAGACCACAAGCGTATCCCCAAGCGGTCACCCTGTGGAAGAAGGGCAATGAGATTCTGCACAGAACTGAGAGGTGATCCATATTGTTGTCGATCAATACATTTGCACATCTATGCGTTTGCAGTTGGAGAGAAGGATACACAAGAATTTGTAAACATAACTCAAAGGAACACAGTATAAGTCCAATTACAGTGAATTAATTTTTATACTTTGTCTGTTTGTTTGTGTTTTCTGACTTCAACTGTATCTCTGCTTACACAAGACAAAAATAATGATCCCCTTACGATTAGCTGCTTATTAGGATGCCTCCGTATGTTTTTTTGCACAGCTCAAGTGACCAGATGTTTCATGCTGATTCAGTCCACCTGTTCCTCATAGAGTTAGTGTTAAAATTTAGTTGTATTTTTTTCTCTCACCCCAATAAACATGCCAGTAAATTCCCTCTGCTGTCCATATCTGCAGTTTAGTTTTCTTTCGTTGTACCTTCTCAGCTCTTTTGTTAAACCCAGTAATCATGTTCACTGTCCACACTGCCAGTCTGAGAATTCAGATGTTCAAAAATCAGTCATTAGCATTACAGAGGGAAAAAATGAATCAAAATTAAAATTGAACCAAGAATGAATGCTTAAATTTAAAAAAATGCATCTAACAACTGAAGAGGTTTAAAGGCCTCCGTCTGATTATCAGAGAGATGATACTGAAATGGGAAAAGTGATACTGTATCCATACATGCAGACTGTAACTGTGGTAAAATAGGAACAGACAAACACTCAGAGGAGTTTATGCTTTGTTTGTACAATATTCAGCTGTCTGGGTGTATGGATACAGCACCACTAACCACAATTACAGTCTGCATGTATGGGTGCAGCACCACTAACCACAATTACAGTCTGCATGTATGGGTGCAGCACCACTAACCACAATTACAGTCTGCATGTATGGGTGCAGCACCACTAACCACAATTACA